ATTCCGAGTATGGGTCACCATACTTGGCCACTTGTCACGTTACTTCACTTAAAATAAAATTGCAAAAACATGGACTGTTTACCGTTGGTCGGTCAAACAGTCCCATCCCAAACTCACTCCAATGGATCTGTCAGTGCTGCTGTGTTGGTCTGGTCAAAATCCTCTCATACATCTGTACATTAAACCAGGTGCATAGTATTGTTTATCCTCCACAGTTTGACAGCAGACTGTTGAGAGAAGTTTAATCTTCTGAGCATCAGACAATGCCTTGATGGTGGAAGTCAGAGATATATAAGTTGGAATCAACCCAGGGTCTCTGGAAATACGTGCCTGTGATGACATTTGATTTTACATTGGTGCTTGCACATTTCCTGACACTTAAATCAAGTTCAGCTTTATCTGAAACAGATTATTGTGAGTCTAGCAACGTTTATTAAAGGGGTCATATGATGCGATTTCAATTTTTCCTTTCTCTTTGGAGTGTTACAAGCTCTTGGTGCATAAAGAAGATCTGTAAAGTTGCAAAGACTAAAGTCTCAAATCCAAAGAGATATTCTTTATAAAAGTTCAGAGTCAGCCACACCTACCTAAAACGGCTGGTTCTAACACGCCCCCACATATCTACATCACTATGTGGGAAGATTTGCATAACGCCGCCCAAATGTTCACGCAAAGAAAGAAGGCGTAACTTTTATTCTCACTGTAGTATTGTTGCCGCTTTCCGCCATGTCCTGAAGACGCTGTGTGCTTCGTTGTGAAAGCGAAACTACTTTGTTTGGTCTTCCAAAAGAGGACGATCTCCACTTCGTCATGCCTAGAGCTGATCCGTGCTGGTCGCTGAGGGAATACATCAACTTAGTGCTGTGGATCGCCGGATCGGCTTTCACCGTGGACGAAGCCCGGGGTCGTCACATGTGCTTGCCGCTCCTTTGTCGGTTCCGCCGGCTGCGCCGTTCTCAACCCCGCCGCCTCTGCTCACTCAAGCCCGTTCTTGCTCACGCTAAGCCGGGGCTTCCGCTAGGCCGCTGTGTTTTTCGTTGTGAAAGCGAAACTACTTTGTTTGGTCTTCCAAAAGAGGACACGACTACAAATCAGTGGTTAAGTTGTATTTACAACACTGTTCCAGAACAGTTTAACCCAAATATCCAGATGTGTGCAGCACATTTTATGGAGGACTGTTTACTGATCCTCACGGCAGTTCAGGAATGAAATATCCAATGAGTGGCACTAAAAGGTTAATGCTCAGTTGTGTTTGAAAATAACATACAACTTACACTAAACACCACACTAAACCTGAACTATAATGTTAACAAAAGCAAACATGAGATGAGATAAAACACATTTCCTGAAGCAACAATGCCATTTTAGCTTGTCTTTGAGCTCCTTTCTTGTGTACCAGGTGTGCTATCAAGCAAGTTTACTGTGTCAGAAAAGCCATGCATACAGTATGCAGCTGGTTATGTGATGCAACCATCATAATGTATTAGTTTATGCACTATGGTAAAAGTATTTTCAGTTCATACCATTGTGCATTTAAATCTTTATAAATCAATAATCTGTAATCATAATTAGCATGAAAACAAATGAAATGTGTTGGTGTTGTACTCCCACTAGTGTTCATTTCAGCTGGAAACTTTAGAGAATTATATGTTTTTTGAGTTTTGCTAAAATGTAGCCAAGGTTTGTAGGAATACCCCACATACAGCATTTGATGGAGCCCAGCATTATTTTCTGTTATTCCGTGTGCTTATGTGTGATCATTAATGAGGTTCCCACAGGAAGTTTTAAACAGGCTTGCATTAAGTCATGTTGGCACAGTGTGGGCAGCGTTCTTCTGGAGCATTGCACTGGGCAGTGTGTGTGCGTGCGCGTACTAATGGTCATGTAGTTGTGGGCGAGCGTTAGGGAATGCTAAAGCTCTTGCTGGACTCAGAGCTGCTGCCCACATCCTGCTCATGTTCTTTCTGATTCACCTTTCTCTTTCCACCCTGTGTCTCCAGCGATCATCATCTGTCCAAGATTCAGCCCACATCAAAGTGTTCCACACTCTTTTCCTGCCACCCCCTCTCTTTCTCTTTTTTGCTGTCCATTTGCATTCATCTGTTTGTAACAGCATCATAGAAAGGAACGTCCTATGGATAATCGGACATGGCCTTGACTTGCACATGCTAAATTTAGAGTATCTTCAGCCAGCTAAGAGACCGAATCCATTATTCTGATATATATGTACATACATACATATGTATCCATAACCACATAATAATATATGGCATAATACAATATAAAACATGACCAACACTGATATATATAGAGGGTGCACCGAGTCTCAAACAAACACTATCATGGTAGCACACACAGCAGTAATATAATAAAATGAATAATACCAAAAATAGTATATGCATAATACCAAAAAGTATCAATCCATTTTACATGAACTATTTTGCTATTTTTACTTTATTTGTGCCCTGTGTATTTTTATGCTTATTAGAATCATTATCATCAATGTGTTAATGTTACTCTCAGCGTTACATTGTAACACCTTAAAATACAGTGTAACTGAAAAAAGTTATTATTGTTATTATCATTAGAGCTAAATGTGTGAAATAGCGCAAACAACACCAAATAATAATAATAATAATAATAATTGGTCTGACAATTAGCACATTTAGCAACTCTCTCCCCTCTTCTTAACACACGTGTTGCGTCAGTTATAATTGCTGTGATCATATCTCTAGAGAAAATAATAGCAATTTTAATGAAACTGTGGCAGATACGGTTGCCAAGGTAACAAGCCCTCAAATATGTTGAGTGTTTAAATTGATTTGTTAAGTTCAAACTGTAATGTCACTCACCCAGAGTCATCCAGGTCATTTTTCATCCCAAAATCAAATCATATTTGCTTAAAGAAAATGTCCTTTTAAAAATTCTAGATGATATTTCAAATAGATTTTTAATAAACTTTTTGCATGATAATTAAGTACACCCTCCACAAAAAAACCCCCTGAAAGGTCCATGTAAAAGTTTAGACATTTCCTTAAACTCCAAAACACAACACAATGCAATGTGAAATTGAAAATATGGGTTAACCCTGATGGAAACATAAACATGGAAAAGTCAAACACATTGGACCCTATTTTTTATGGACATTTCTTAGAGTGCATTATCATAATTTAAGACATTTGTCATCTTAATTCAAAAAAAGATATATTATTTAAATGTCACAATGCAAATAATTGTATTGCCTTAAACTATGCTTCATAACTTTGGCCTGAAACTCACTTTGGCCCCTGTACTCACTTACTGACTACACAATATTGAAACATTACAATATTACAATAATACATTTTACTGATTTGTCAAGCATTTAGGAATCACTGGGAAGCATCTGTTAGCATCTGTTCTTCTGAGAGCAACTTTGTAAAGGTTTTTAAAGTTCGTAAAGATCTAGTTGATTGACCCCTCAAGTTACTGAGCTGAGATGTTTATTGCTGGTTTAATGAGTGTACTATGGTCTGAGGGTCATTTTAGCCATTCATGTGGACACAAAGAAACATTCCCCAGGATTCCTATCAATGGGACTTTAAAAGAGTCCATTTCTATAGAAGTGTTGTTTCTCTTTGACCTCCTCGCCATTTGACGTCATGCCGGTTCAAGTGCCGACACCGAGCTGATGTCTGAGGTCACAACTAGTAGGAAGTTACGCAGTATATGACATTAACAACATCCCACTCACAACTGTGGAGGCTACGTTTGGAGATGGCAATCTATCCTATCAATTAACATCAACCAAACTGTCCATCTCATGATCTCTCTTTCTTTTTTTCTCCTATTCCTTTAAAACTGGAGGGTTGCGTCCTTTGGCGGTCCCTGATCAATTAGTTGAGGCTCTTTCTGTTGGCTGTTTGGTTTTACCCTATTAGAGATGTCTGCTTGCATCCACGTCTCTTCCTCTACAGAAATCGATTAAGCTGGAGGATGAGGAATCTTCTCACTAAATCTTACTTCAGCTTCTTCAAAATTCACTGAAATTGGAAATGCCATGGGACTGTTTGAAGCGTCTTTTGTGGCCTTGTGCCTGATTGGCTGGGGGAATCGTGCTGAAATCCCATTCATCACCTACACTCAATAGCACCACAGCAGCCTCTAGCTGGCAGGCCAGGTAGGGTGCCGAGCCGCACAATGTGGGGGGATTAGCTTGAAAACTGTGGGGACCAGGCCTCTCGCTGCAGGCTAGCTGGGAGATGGGGGCCGGACCGGCCAAGGTCACGTCTCCCGTCCAGAGGAGAGTGGGAACGGACCTTGGGAACCGTTGGCGCTGCCTCTCATCGCCAGACTCGGCTCACCGCACAGCAGGTGCATGTCAGCGAGATAATACCGCTGCTAGCTTTTGTGTTCTTTCAATATTTTCCTCCTTGCTTTCAATGCTGACCGCATTTTTCTCTGAAAAAAGAAGTTAGCAGGGATGCCGGGCGGATTGGGATTTTCCATTTTTGTCAAAGCGCAACACTTCGGATAAGGTTTCAGAAGTAACAGTAAGTGGTTATTAAAGTTGTAGTACATCCACCATGACGTTATACTATATGGACAGGCAAGAAATTTCAAATGAATTTAATGAATTAAGTGTTTTTCTTTCTTTCTTTCTTTCTTGAGCATTCTTTTGGAATAAAATAGGATTACAGGTAAAAATCTGCAAACAGATAATGTGTTCATTTCTTGCTTCCTCGTCTTTAATTACAATCATGGCCATAATGTCAAGGCCTTTTATTATTATTAATTTAGTTGTTTTTTTTGCCCAGTGCTGTGCCACTGGCCTTGACCGTATGCTTTTTTCTAACGAGAGCTGAAAGAGAGGCTAGCTTGTCGTAATTAGCGCAAAACTTGCGTAGGCTTCTTGTGTTGTGAGGCAAACGTGAACTTTTTTCTTCGCTGAGCCATGCACAAGTTGTCATGACGACAGGGATGTTCCGCTGATGAAGTCTTACTTCTTGTTGTCCAATCAGATTGTGGAACTGAAACTGCAGCATGAACAGGAGCGGACGCACCTACTCCAGACACACAATGCTGAGAAGGACAGCCTGGTCCAGGATCACCAGCGGGAAATCGATAGTTTGGACAAGCAGGCGAGGGCCACCATGGTCCAGCAGCAAACGCAAACCCTGGAGGGGAGGAAGCGCGATGCTCAGGTAGGGGGTCCCTTCCTTTCCGTCGCTTCACTATTTTGTTTTTCTAATTAGGATAATGTTACAATTGATGGCTATTTTATACTGTGTATTTTATTTCATTATTGCATTTTTATATGTTCCACTACATAGAATACCGTTTGCAAGGTACTTAAAAATCTATAGTATTTCGCGTACTTTTTCGCAACACTGTTGTCATGTTTTTATTGTACCGTGTGGGGGGAAAAAACTAGGATTTAATTAGGAAGAATTCTAAAGCGCAAACTTATTGGGCATTATTTTTATGTGCAACTTTCCACTTGGGAGAATTCCTTAAAAATTCATTGAAAAAAGTGACTGAAACCACAGGATGCCGGATGAAGAAGGTAAATTCCCCAACCCGTTGCCGCTGTGGCCTTTTATTGTAAACCATAGGGTGCATTCTTCTTTTCTTGGGTTGTTTATATTGGGTTTAGTAGTATCTGTGCACCACCACTGAGTTCTGGTTTTGTCGCTACGGTGTAGGTAGCAATTATCTAATAATAAAGCTATTCTCTAATATCTCAAACTACTGGAACAGGCATTTGTCATTTAGAGAGTATTGATGAGCTCTTTAGCCATAAAACCTCCATTTTGGTCATCAGCGGGTTTCTGGTGCCTGTTGTGCCAATTGCCCCGTCCGCCGCTTCCCTTTCCAGCCTGGCTATCGTAAGATCCCTGTGGGAAGCCGTTTGAAAGCCTAGCCCCCAACTGTGGATTCACTGGGCTCGTCAAACCCCAAGATTAAATGTAAATTGTCAGCATGGCTAAACCATATTTATTGGCTGCTAGCAAGAGAAACAAGTTCAGAGATATTGATGCTGCAGAGGACATATCGCTCTACGCTGAGACGCTCCAATGCGGATATATATATATATATTAGCGAAAATGTATGGTAACATTTGTTGATAATATTGGTCTACTTATGAAGTGATCTATATTTCGTGGGGAGGATGTCTGTTTTGAGTGAAAGTTATTTTTTTGCTCAGCAAATGTGTTATTTGCTTCCGTCAGTTTTACTGTAGTGCTGTTAGTGGTTTTGTATCAGTGATCAATTACTTTCAAAAGTGTTTATCGATGGTTAAACAAAAAAAATTATGTTTTACAAAAAATATGTGATAATTAAATACTTGTAAAAACTTAAAACAGAAGCTGTCAGTAAATCAACGTGTATCATCATGTATACTCACCGCCACATTGTGTCATCAAACAAAACCCAGTGTTGTTGAGTATTCATGTCTCACGTCCTCCATCATGTACTGAGTAGTAAGTTGGCACTTAAAGGAAGATGTTTGTGGTTTGGCGGATGTCTTCTGTAATTCATACTGTAGATGCAGTTTTGGCCAAGAGTACATCAAACCCTCTACGGCCCAAAAAAATCTCCATTCCCTCCAACTTACTAAGAGTGAAACTAATGGACTGGAAAAGATCCCAGGAAATATTTGCAAGAATATTGATAGGTAAAGACCTGATGAAAGCTAATGCTTTTTATAAAGCGCTCTAACATTTTTTTTTTTTTTACCTCAAACTTTAGAGACCCAAATGATGGTTTGGGTCCTGTTTGGATTGGTAGACTTCCTATAGTATGCGGCACACTTTTGTTTAGTAGTTGTGATCAGCTCAATGTTTAGTTGTTGTAATCACAACGTTACTTACAACACTATAAGCGCAGACTCTGATATAATTTGTGCTTTTATATGGTGTCATAACAGCTACAGAAAACTTGAAAAAAAAAAGCTACTTGAAAGTGAGTGTTATGGCCACAAGCCCAAAACAAGAGCTGAATGCCAATTGTTATATTGAATGAGTTTTATTTTGAAGTGCAAAAATCCTGTACAGTTATGTCTTTATTTTTTCAGTTTCATGCAGCATGGCTTGACAATACACCCGCAAGAAAAACTGGAAGCTACTGCATAGTTGACAACAACAGCTGGTAAAATGCTATAACTATCTGTCCACAAAAAAAGTTTAAAATGTAAAAATACACTGAAGTTGGTGTGCTTTATAAGTGATCCAAACTTCGAGCACCTGGAAAGTGTTTACTGTGAACTGAGCCGCTCAAAACTCTGAGCCGTGTCATAGTAGTATAGCTTTAAAACAGACATAGTAATGATGTTTACAGTCCTTGTCCATGCCACTAACAAATTTGCCCAAAACAAATCACGATCTTCATTTCACAACCGTACAGGAAGCTAGGGAACGCCACTAATTCATGAAAACAATCTGCAAAGGAGAAGTTTTGTGCAAAGTGTAATGGGCGATTTTGTTCTCTGTGAAAATTGTAGAAGATTGATTGAAAGATTGAAAACTGATCCAAAACAACAACAGCAGTGTCAGTAGGCAGTGCTCATGCTGTATGACTGAGGCATGCTGGGAGATTTCAAAAGAAATTTGTAATTTTCCCACCTTAAGGCCCTTTGACACCAAGAACGCTAACTATAAGAATATTTATGTGGTAACTATAACTGTATTAGCATCTACACTAATGCACAAGAATGTTCTGTTCATTATAAGCGCATAATGACATGTAATTTCAAGTCAATCAGATCATTGCACACTGACATATGTGTCTCCATGTGTTCACACTGTCTGGCGGCCATTTTGAAAGCTGTCTGAACTTTCACCAAAAGAGTAGCTCCTTTACATGCTTGTAGGGCTGGGCAAAAAAAAAATAATTTCGATTAATCGTTTTTTTAAATGACGTCGATTCAACATCGATTCTCAAAAGCCGTGAATCGATCTTTTCCGGGATTTATTTCAGCACACATTTAAAACAAGATCTGATTAACGTGAATCTTGTCATTAGTCTTCTCCACTAGATGTCACCCTTATTTACCTTGCACGATGTTACAACAGAAAACTATTTAGCAGTCTTAAGACTCAATGCTACTACTGCTAATAAATATTAATAAATCTTTATTTTTAAAGAAATAATCACATCTGTTTTCTTTTTAATTTTAACAGTAAACCTCTGTTGTGCAGCACTTTGTTTGCCAAAAAATAAAAGGGTTTAATTTTCATTTGATTAGGATAAATTAAATTAATGTTTTATGCCTTCATCTGATTACCAGAAAAGTTAAAAACATTTTATAGGGCCCTATTATTGTTTAAAAAAGGACTTATACAAAAAAAAAGTATAGGTTTAAAATATAGGCGTGTGGTTCTTAATTTCTTAATTTATTATTAATTCACCATTTGTAAACTGATGTTTACTGTTCATTTTTTAGAAATATCAATAGCATTTGTATTAAAACTATATTCACCGAATGTAATAAAAAATATCGAGAATCAAATCGAATCGAGAGCTTGCGAATCGAAATCGAATCGAATCGGGACTTCTGAATCGATACCCAGCCCTACATGCTTGAGCTCGTTAAAGTCTGATTCTGATTGGCTGTCAATAAAGTTTTTATTGTTCAACAGCTGGAAAAAAATCATCTGAATGTGATTGCAGCAATATCGTTCCTCTGTGGCATTATTGTTATAGTTGTGGTGTGGACTTTCCTATAGAATTAGAATGATTATTAATACTTTAAAGTTATAGATAACGTACTTGTTATGAATGAACTTTAACTGTTGTTATAAAACTTTTCAGAGTGTGAAGATTCTTGTGTTTTATGTAGTTTGAACTGTTAGTTTGAAGTTTTATTGAATTCCCTATTGTTATTGTGAGGGTTAATCAGCCAATATTTAGCCAATATGCTGTATTTTGTTTGCCCATTTTAAAGACATGTTTCACAACCCCTACATCCCCTTGTGAATGGATAATGCACACGTTCCATCATTTCATTTTATGTCTGAGCTTTCACCTCTTTATTGTAGTGAGAGATATAGCATACAGACAGAATTGAACTCGTGTCACTTGTCTCAGGTTATCTGGTCTAAAAAAAAACAAAAATATTACATGCATTTCTGACTTTCTCTGAATGTGGTTTGAGTGATCAGACCACAGGACATTTTTTTAACTGTATTTAGTGCTGACCACTGAAATGAATGGCAGAAGTAAACAAGATCAGCAAAATTTGTAACACTTTACTATAGGGTCCAATTCTCACTGTTAACTAGTTGCTTATTAGCATCACTATTATTAACATATTGGCTGTTTATTAGTACTTATAAAGCATGACCTACATCCCTAATCCTACCCAATACCTAAATTTAACAACTACATTACTAACTATTAATAAGCAGCAAATTAGGAGTTTATTGAGGCAAAAGTCATAGTTAATGCTTTGTTAATAGCGAGAATTGGACCTTAAAATAAAGTGTAACCGCAAGATCAAAATGTATGCTAAATTTAGGTACAGGTAATTTTCTGCCAGGACAATATGCCTGAAAGTTAACAAGATTTCCTTTAATCCTAACACATTGCAATACATAATTTAAAGTTCACCTGTGAAAAATCAATTCCATATATTGGGTAAACGTACCTATTAAGCTCACGTACCCATTAAGCACACTTCCATTTTTGAGATCAGATTATAAAAAGCAAAAATTATTTATTATCCTACTTGATGTCTTAACCAATTGATGTGTTTGTTACTATGTACCTCCTGTAATTTCAAGTCAAGCAGATCGTTGCACACTGAGATGTGTCTCCATGTGTTCACACTGTCTGGCGGCCATTTTGAAAGCTGTCTGAACTTTTCACTACTTATTGTAAAAGTAAGAGATTAATGTTCAGACTTTTGCATATTATAACCTAGAACTTGGAAGTGGCAAATAATTACATTAGATCCAAAAGATAGTTTTAGCAACATAGCGCAGATGCTACAGAACACAGTTAGCTGACTAGCTGTATAAGATTGTGTGCTACGCTAATATATTACTTCTCAGGCATTACTGGCTTGTACTTTTATATCCATAATATTATAAATTGACAGTTTATTGCTGGCCTGTGGTTTTACAGTGCTGTAATTTTTAGAGATTTCATATTATTTTAAGGTGAGCTTAAAGAGTACACTACTATGAAAATCACACAGCTT